GTTTTTACTGGGGTGGTAGGATAAAGGGGAGGTCATTTTTGAATAAAATGCGTATTTTTACCCAAACTGAGTGAAAATTTGTCCATATAGGTAATAACCCATGGCGAATCGAATGGACATATTTATAAGTTCTCTGGAGACCCTTCGCAAGGTCTCTGGAACAAATTCTCACTTAGTTTGGATAAAAAATACGCATTTTATTCAAAAATGACCTCCCCTTTATCCTACCACCCCAGTAAAAACGATTTTTCTCAACATAGGAAAGAAAAGAAAAAAAAACGAGCCGTAGCGTGGTGGGGGGTGGTATGACGCGTCGAACGAGAGAAAATATTTGGCTTCATCGTTTACGTGGAAAGACTAGATGGGTTTACAAAATCGACCTATAGCGTGTGGACCCGACGAGATTCGAAGCGCCACCACCAATAGAGTTTTGGATCTGGAGTCAATTTAATAACTTTTTTCTACTCAGCTTTACATGTTGAATCTGAAAAAATTATAATGGTAGATAAAAAGTATGAATTTGGTCATCATCAATGCTTATTTTAGTAAACAGAGTATACTTACTAGGTGTTGGAACTGTTTCGATTGCCGATAATCAATGAACAGGACTGGGTTGAAGTTCGATAATCCATAGAATGACTTTCTAAGACTTGATTCAATCCATTCGAAAATCTCGTGTAACAACCATATGATCGATAAGAAATCGTGTTTATAGAACAGTAAGTCATCTCAACAAAATTTATGTTGATATTTATATTATGATATTTATGTTATGTGTGAAAGAAGGAAGAAATAAAGCTATAATCTTAGACATTCATAAGAATATAATATATAAATCTCATCAAAAATTAAAATTAAACCAAGTTGATAATGTAACAATCGTGTATTGACGATCTTATTTCATATATAAAGTACCGTTAAATATTTAAAGACCGAAGATAACATTTTCACCGATACTTCCACTCACACTTCATTGTATCTATGTGATTACGATCTTCATCAGCGAAGAAAATCTTGATAAAATTTTAAAATAACTCAAGATTCTTTCGATCGTTAGATATGATTTATTTTTATGAATAAAGTTCACCAATAATTTTTTTCAGTAATCAATATTTTTAAAACAAGCTACTAGCGTTTGTTTTTGCACACCATCGCGACGTTTTAAGATAGTCCAAAACGATTTTTAATGCTTCACTTGTTCCGATTCGTTCTAAGGCTAATAATGCATTACCATTCACATAACGATTTTGATCAAAATAAAGTGCATCTTTTAATACAGGTATTGCTTCAGCTGCTTTAGTACCAATTTTAGCCAACGATAATGCTGCAGTAATTCTGGCATGAGATCTATTTTCTGTATCCAATTGTTGATCTCGATCAAGAAGGATTTGTGTCAAACATCGGACTACTATGCCAACATCAGTTTGGTTATTTGACTGAATAGTTCCCAATGCTTGACAACAGTATTTTTTAACTAACCATGAATCACTAATTTTCAATACATGTAATAATAATGGCAATGTTTCAAGTGCTATTGATCCCATTTCAGAAAAAATAAATGCGATACAGTATGCTTGATCTTCATTTTTTTCCTCTTTTTTGAATAATGTTTGTAACTCATTAATCACGTTTTTATTATATCGACAAGCCGTTAATGCATATGCCGCTTCGAGACGATAGATTTCTTTATTATTTGATAATTGTTCGATTAAGACATGGTATTCATTACTTAATGCTAGATTATATGCTGCATTAAGCCGAGTTTCACTATCTTTGTTGTGTAACTGTGTTTTCCAGTTAATGATATCTTGTTCAATAAAAGATTGTCGTATCATCATTGTACCACCCATCATCCAGTTCCAAACATGTCGGACAATGGGTTGTAATAAATCAGCATCTGCAGCATCATAAACAGCATTTGTTGGATCATGATTCCACGTTGGTTTAGTCGGTTCTTCGAGTTTGTTAAATTGAAATTTAAACATAAAACGATAAGAATCTTTTGTTCGATTGGCTGTTCCTTTATGAACAATATCATAATGAATTAATACTACAGTGCCAGCTGTACAAACCAAACGAACATCATGTTGTTTGTCAGTTTTTGTATCAATATCTTCGGATGGTGTTTTGTTTATGTCATATACCCAATCCGCAGCATCATATTGTGATCGAGGTCTAATTGCAGTTGGACCCATCTCTAGAGGTACATCTTGAGGATAATACATAGCCATTACATAACGTAATTGATGATGACGAAGTGGCTTAGTGTCTTTATGCCATGGTTGATCTTCCGTTCCAGGTTTTGTTAAATGAGGAAATCGATGTGGTTGCATGGTATAATTTGGACCCAATAAACTTTCTAATGCACCACTTACTACCGGATCATTGAATACATTTTGAAGTTGAGGAATTCGAGGAAGAATATTGTTTCCTGGATTACCTTCATCATTGAAAATCGACAAAGTTTGAGTGAATATGGATGAATGAAAATTTGCATCAAGAGAAATAGGTTGAAGAACTAAATAACCGTTGATTAGAAAGTTTTGCACTTGTTTATCTGTTAATAAGTACGGTGTATTCATCGTGAAGTATGTGATAGTATTGAGAATGTATGTATCACGCGATCGTTCTTTTTTTGTGATGTATAAATACTCAGCTGTTTGTCCTTGTAATGAAATTTATGAGTCATTTATATGTGTAGAATACAAAGAACAGGAGAGTAAGCGCCATCTGACATGATTGAATAATTCAAACGAATGAAAAAATAGTTCGTTAATTGTTATTAAAGAAGTAAAACGCCCTAGAAAGTGATTTATTTTAATTTTGTTCTAATAATGAAAATTAATGCTTTGAGAGATGTCTCTATACTACGCGTAGAATTTTTATTAAGCTGTTATTGAATATATATTTCAAATTCTAAAATCTATTCAAGAAACTTATATAATTAATTAGACGAATCTTTTTAGAAGAACTGAACAACTTTTCAATAATATTAATTCTCGAATTTTCTTTGAAACACATTCAAAGTGACAAAAAAAATGATTTATGAATAAACAGGAGTTTTGTCTACCAGGAACTTATTTTAACAAAAGAGAACAATAAATCTATCGATCTTCAACAAACACAATTACAATTATTTATAATGAAAGATAAAGAAAAATACTGAGTGAGAGCCTCTCTAATATCAACAGCATCCGTTGTTACTATATTATAAGCAGGTTTTTCAGAACAATCCCCATGAAAGACATATAAATTATGTAAAATAACTGTTGTTTTAGTGATATTGGTTATTCCCTAGACTGAAAGGATGGGGCCTGTCAAACGGTAAATATTCTCTAGACTGTAGTCTAGGATCTGTAGGACGGTAAAGAATACATTTTGCTGTCTGTCTGCCCGCAACATGCTTTTAAGATCATCATTGGTCAAGTGGCTTTTCGAGCTAGTGTCTGTCTGTCTGTAACACATTTTAAGACCACGGTGGGATCTGTTGTCGGCTGATCGAGAGTGAAGGTTTTTATTACATCACAAGAAGAAGGATCTCTCTTTCTCTCTTCATTCATCACTTTCGCGCCTTTTTGGTTTTGCTGCTAATCAGTTCAAACATCGAGTGCTATGACTTGCTCGAGTTCACTGTCTCTCTGTCTGTGGAGAATACGGTCTTGAGACCTCAATCCACCTTTTGGCTGATCGCTGATTTCATGTCAATGAGTGAAAGGTGCTTCAGTGTCTTTATGTTTCTCAGGTCGAGGTTCAGTAGTTTACACCGTTCGAAGATGTTTTCATGATCCTCCGAGCAGGTTAGACAGTAAGTGGTGATGTAGATCGTTTGAGACTCGAAATCTCTCGTCGATCTTGCAAACAGTGAAGGAAGCGCGGGCACGTTCGTATAGCTTTTTCGACTCATTGACATCATCCTGTCACAGGAGACAATTTAGTGGAATCTATCTCACTAAACAGTAATTGAGTTGTTGGTCATTAATTCAGATAACCCGCTAACGTCTGACACGTGTGAAAAACGTTCAGAACGAATCACACTTTGTATTGTGGTATCCGATCGATGCTATCGGTTTGTTAACTAATCGGAAGAGATCATGGTCGCGGTCTCGTTTGCATTCGTGAAGAAGCTGAATATTCGATATAACTTTGTTCGATTTTGAACTGAACGTTGGTTGCAACATGATCAATGGTTCACTTTATGATTGGTTCACATGACAAATATCAACTGCAGTCGTCCAAGGATAGTGTCAAGAATAGTGTCAAGATAGCTCGTGCGCATCTCTCTGCAGTATCTTCACGATCCTCACGAGGGATAACAGGACCAACTAAAACCGGAACCACAGCAAACGAACGACGAATGAGTATATGAGTAGAATACTGAGAATGAGCAGCACGAAATACCCATCGATCATTCAATGGTCGACCGCGAGGTATGGTTGTTGCTGATTGATTGTCACCTTGTAGTAAATCCTTGTCACGCAATGTCATCTTCGCTTTCCGGTATTCTGAGAAAAAAGAATAGAGGCACACGTGGTTGAGCAAAGGTGATCGCATTTGATAATCAATACATCTATTGCAAAGAATTAGATGATCATCATCACATCCAGTTTCCACTTCAAAAGCTTCATCATCTAGAGCATTTTCGTCATTATCATCGGTATTGTATGAAGATTTCGATAAACCTGAGCTGGGTAATTCCGTGGGATCTGTACCACCATATACATGACTATCTCGAATCTCGATGAAAGCATATGGGTTTTGTCGAGCGCGAAATTTCAAGCAATATTCGTGTCTGTGAGATTTCTTTTTGAGTTTGTTATCACTCAAATAATCGTCGAATACTAAACACATAGGAAAAATCCATGAAAAATCGACAGAAAAGTATTTCCTAGGTAGTTTTTTTCAGGGTGAGAGTGTGAGGGTGAGCGTGAACGGTTGATAAGGATGAGAGTGTGGGTGAGAGGATGGCAGTTATAGTACTGTTGCAACAGAGGGAATAAAGGAACTAAAGCGACTTCAAGAAAGGTATTGGTGTCCAAGGATAATGATGTAAAAGTAAACCGAGATAAAGTTAATTTCTGGTGGTTAATTTCTCTCATTTTCCTTCCCAGATGATCCGTTGTTTCGAAAACAACTGCGGATCGTGCCACGATGTTCAGATCGTCTTACGACAGTGGTGTTGAATAATCATTGACAATGGATGAAAGTGCTTGTGACGATGCTTTATCTCTTGTTTGATGATTCATTGTTCTTCGTCATCGATGAAGCCTCCGAAGATAAGCAACTAAGTTACTTTTTAGCGTAACACTAGTTCTGCTGTTGTCCGTTATTTGAATCAAACTCTAGTCCGTCAATCTTCGACACTCACCTCGCTCTTTTCACACAAGATAGCAAGAGCGAGGTGTATTCATTCAGAAGTAAGCAATGACAATGGTGAGGAGAAAAAAACCCTCACCCCTCACCCCCATATAATGTTAAAGTAGATCCCAAACAACTCATACTTTATCGGCACGATAAAGTAAACAAAAGTAGTCTTGAACAAATCAAAGAAAAACAACGATTAATTACAATGAATGGTTTTATATCCACAACAACAGATAGGGAAATATCAGCAGG